AGATAATAGCGACATGTCTGTTGAGCTGACTTTGTCACTGGGCCCTACAGGCGGGAAGAACCTGGAGGTGAGGCAGCGAGGAGAGCCCGGGAGAGCAGAGGTCGAGAGAATAACTCTAATTCTCAGGCCAGCCCGCGCCCGGGCGTCGGTGCTGGAGTGGAGGGTGGGTGTGAGCAGTCGGGGACGTGCCTGGGAGGGCGCAGGGAGCCGGGCGGAGAGGGTCTGTGGTCCAACAGGGCTTGTGTTTGCTGATCAGCGACGGGAGGGGCAGACTGGAGAGGTCAGGGGGGCGCTGGGAAGGGCGGGGGGGAGGGCAAAGGAAGAGGAAGGTCCCAGGAGGCTGAGGAAGGGGCTGCAAGGAGCTGGTGAGGGGACAGAGGTGCACAAATGGAGGGCGGACAGCTTGGGCTTGTGTGTCGCTCATTTTTTTTCTCAGTGTCTATTATGAAGAAATTTAATGCACAAAAAGAATACTGTGAGCCATAGATTCATATTTTGTTTTTTTGTTGCATAAACACTGGAGACTGGGGAGGGAGAAATAAGGAGTAGAAGAAAATACTGGAAGTTCAGCCCTCCAGCCACTTGGAGGAAGGCAGACATGAGCCAAGGCCTTGGGAGGCAGATGCCGGCCGGCGGGTGATGACAGAGCGACGGAACGGAGGTGTCCGGGCTGCATCCGCGGGGAGGGCCGCGACGCCGCCAGCGCGGCAAAGCCAGCAGCCGGCAGCGAGCTTCCCGCTGTACCTGCCCTCAGCGACGCCTCATTCCAGCCTCACTTCCCGTATTATCAGTTTTCACTTCTTTCTGCCCTTTCCACTGCGTCGGCAAACCCCCTCTCTGACTGTCCATTTATACAGACTGCCCAGCGGGTGTGTGGCCAGGAGAGAAGGCACCGCCGTAAGGACACGCTCTGCTGTCCGCGCGGGGACTGAAGGCGGATGCTGTGCCTGGTCACCCAGACCTCAGGAGGACGTGCCATCGGCTGCGGTCCCTGATGTACCTGTGTTCCCGCAGGACCCCGGGGGCTGAGGAGCGACACCAGAAGCGGTCCTCGCGCACTGCCTCAGTTAGTCTGCGAGTGCCTCCTGAGATTCCCCCGAGAGGCCGGGGACCGGTGCTGCTGAGTTCACCCGTGGCAGCGGCAGGTGCACAGGGCAGCGTCTCGCATGCGCAGCCTGCTCACGGGTGGCTGGGGTTCTCCGGGCCCTGCAGCTGCCCCCACGGCTGCAGGGAGGAGGCCTGGAGTCCAGCCACACATGGGCGGACTCTGTTGCACCACTGGCTTCCTCCTTGCATAGCTGAAACTCTCCTGATTGCTCATTTCCTTACGTTAACTACAGAAATATCCCACTGTGGTCTTCATAGGAAAGGAGAAATCTTAGATGTTTTGATTCCTGGTCTCAGGTCTATCTGTTGTGCCAGCCACAGCCCCACCTCGTGTCCCCAGCACAATATTAAGGCTCAACACTGAGACTGGATGCAAGTGTCAATGAAGTGACCTCATTTCCCTGCCGTCTTCCTCAAGTCTATTTCGTATACAGATCCAGAAGTCTGGTCAAACATAAATCACACTATTCCCAGATGTCTACCCATGTCTCACTTTAATCTCTCTACTATGCAGCACTGCCAGAACACAATTCCCGGACATGCCACAGGACACTGGGATCACCAACTCACATTTCTATTTCAAACTCGGTGTACAGACAGTTTTGACAATCTTGGTATATATGTTTGATACACTTCTGAGGCTTTTAATACTGCATGAGCTTTTCTAAAGAATTCCCCTCAACTATACTTCCAAATGTAATTTCCTGTCAACAGTTAAGAACAGTAATACTTTCAAAGTGAGTTTTCTACACAATTACACTTGCAGAAAGCAATTAAAACTAGGGAACAATATACACACACAATTATGTAAAACACCACCTCGATGCTGCTTGTTGAAGAGGTTTATGATGCTGTTACTTTATTATATAAATTATAGCATTGCTCAGCAACTAAATATGCTGATTGCTTAGAGAAATGTTTACATATAACTCTAAATGTGGCCAAATTTACTATGATATTTTGTGATTAGACTTCTAATTAAATTCTGCCCAGGTAACTGCTTTACAGAATATATGTTAAGATTACAAAGCTCTTCCAGACCCAAGTGCCTTATAACAATAACTATTTGGTGTTCTCCTATTACCTTGAGCAAAAAGTTATAGCAAGAATGATCAGAAATCGCTCTGGGTTTCAGTGAAATCCAAGGAGGCCCAGTGATGACTGGCCTGCAATGCTGAAGCCGCCCTTTTGTAATTCCTGAGATCCTGGTGCTTATTCATTCTTTGAGCATGAAAAACATTTACATTAAAAAACTCATAGTATGAATGTATAATAATGAATTCCATTTTTGGTAAGAATATTTTAATACTTAAATTAATCCCTGGACTTATGTTTACATGACCAATGTGGTCCGCATTTCCAAGGGACCAGAGTGGCTGCACTGATGGTGAAATGACTAAGCCGTAGCAAACCCGCCAACAAATACTACAGCTAAGGCGAGACCCTAGCTTCCTGAGTGTTAGAACCATTTTAAGACTAAAATTACATATTATGTACTTTTATGTATGTTATTTTCCAAGCCACCAAACTCAAAATGGCATATATTTTCTTAAAAAAAAAAACAATCATGCAGACAGTTTGGGGTGAAGTTCAGAATGAATTAAGTAAGTACATTATACACACTAATGCTTCCTTCTTAATTTCCTTACTAGGAAGAACTTTATGCCTTAAATTAAAAAGGTCTGGTTACAGATCTGAGAGGGGAACTATCATGTTCAAAGGGTCTGTCAGTGAGGGAAGTGGTCCCCAGGACAGCGATGAGGTGTGAGCAGTGTCTTTTTCGAGAACACTGATGGGTAAATAGCAATCTCAGTTCATGATTCAAAAGTTACACGTTTTTGAGTATTTCAACTCATTCTTTATTTTCTTTTCTTATGAAGAATGTTTATGAACTATTAGATTCAACTGCAAGTAGTGAATTCATCACCTGTTGGCATTTAGGAGAACAATGCCCATTCTAAGTCTTGGGAAGCTCATTGTGAGGGGGCTTGTAAGCAATACAAAAATTTGAAATCCTAGAAGAAAATATGCCCTGGATATGTAAAATTATTTCATGAAGCACAGATGATTCTTAGAACTTTTCAAAACCAAAACTAGAGTAATGGCTTTTATATTACCCAGATCAAGCATTTAGAAACTCAAAGTTAACAACTAATATTTAATTTTATTTAGTTCAATGGAAAAGTGATTTTAATTGAATGCAGACTGGTTACCATAAATACGGAATCTTACATTCTGTTACCCAAAGATACCTTATTTGAGTCTCCATAGTTAATCTTCTGTTTTAATTAAGGAAACTAATTTTAAATGAATTCTTTTAACATATCCTACATTATATACATGCTTTAAGTTCTTTCTCTTGCTTCTTTCACATAGTGAGAATCTTTGTTTCTCAAGATTTGATGGTGGTAATGGTTTATGCCATGTTAGTTTAACTCACTTCCAAGATGTTATTGTGATTAAATTAAAAGAAAGAGGGTGAATTTCAGAGAGGATGGATGTCAAACAGAGAGAAACAGAGCACCGTGGAATCAATTATGTATCTCCTCTTCCTCTACTCATCCCGTTTCACTTTTACTAAGTTGCAAAGGTGCAGCATCATGAGTCCGCACCGCTTAGCACACATGCGTTTGCTGGGGCGCCTTCTGTGGGAAGGGCAGGAACCACTGCTCGGCGAGCTTCCCTTCCACTTACCCGCCCGGGAAGGAGGTCTCCGGCTCTGACTGCTCACCTTCTTTCCACATTATGTATTCAAAGGAGGAGCTGACCTCACCAGATTCATTCAGTCTTTGTGGGCACGGAAGGATAAAAGGGTCAGAGCCATGTGGATAAGGCTTTTGGGGTGGGACAGAGGTTTTAAAAAGTAAGTTTTGTCGAGATTTAAGAGCAACTACAATGAAAGAAGAAAGTGAAAGAAGGAAATTTGAGAACTTTGGGAAAGACTGCGTGTTCTCGTTCATCAGAAATTAAAGGACAAGTTATTTTGAAATTACTGTGGTTTTGGACATAACCTTGTGACTAGAACATGGGGAACTGACTGTAAATAGATCGGTTTTTGTTGGTTTACCAACAAAATGGTAATGAAGGCATTACCATATTAGATCAACTGGGATAGAATAGCTTCTACTGAAATGTTTACACAATTTTTGACAAATTTTAATGATTCTCCTTTACGTGTGTAAGTTTAGACTGGAATGTTTTGTTCTACCTCAAACTTATGTTGGTATATTACAAAATGATGCCATATTCCTCCCAACCCCCGTACGCAAGCCTCTTAACATGACTTTGCTTCTCTTCCCATGGAAGTTCAGAGCACTTTTTTTTTTTGACGCCTTATCTTGCCCATGAGATTTGCTTTGACAAATGGCACATCAGCAAATATAATGCAGGCAGAAGTTTGAAAAGGTTCTCATCTCTTGCACTTCCGTGTTGCCATCCACCTTTTGTGTACCTTCTACTTACTGAATGAACAGAAACCTGGCTTGGCCAAGCCTACCTTCCCCGCCAACCAGCTGGGCCCCACACATGAGTGAGGCCATCTGAGAACAGCTGGCCGAACCCTCCAGATCAGAACTGCCCAGGAAATCCACAGAGTCATGGGTAGACAAGTAATTAATTTAAGAAACTCAGGTTTGGGGGCCAGTTTGTTATACAGCAAAAGCTAATGGATACACTTACTTTCTATTCTTTTAAAGATGGCTTAACACAGTTTTCAAAGGGATACCAAAGCAAGCACATGAGCCAACCAAAAGTGGATCTGCCCCTTGACATTTTCTTCTTTCACTCAGAACCATAAACGCAGTCACGGAGAGTAACAGCTGCACTAGTGTCTCCACTACAGCAGGAGATGTGCCTCTCCTCTCACTCCACTGAAAGCAAAGCCAGACGCGTACCTGATGGTCTTCCCGGGGTCTGCTTCCACGGTCCAGGTGCAGTGCAGGTTGTTGTCGTAGGGAGCCGGGTAGCCGGGGGACAGGATGCGCCCGGAAGTGGCAGCATGGATGTGACCACCACACTCCGCTGCAGAGACAGAGGCACATGGGGAAACTTACTCCAGGCCTCAGGGGTTGCTGCTGTTCTGCTGCTTTTAAAAACCAAGACCAACACGTCTGCGTTATATGAGCACCAAGAAATCACAATGATCTCTCTGGTTCTATCATTTCTTTACTTGTTCACAAGCATTGTTCTGCTGGGGGGGCACTACCCTCTCTGGAATTAAAGTTGAGAATACAAAACAAAAGGAACACTTGTCATCCTGATAGTAATTCTATGCACGTAGTTTCAGTAAAATAGGACTGGGAAGTCTTTCATATGCACAGACATGCACACACAATGGAGAGAGTGCAGTCGAAATCCTGCCTCTTCCAGAAGACCCAGGATGCATGTGTGGAGCAGGTGTTCCCAGGCACGCTCTTGGGCAGGGATGGAAGCTGGCTTCCCAACTCACCCACGCAGGAAGGCAGCGGTTTGTCCCACACTCTCCGGTCGCCACTCAGACAGGTCAGGGAGTTGCTGCCGTGCATGGCATAGCCCGGGTTACAGCTGTACAGAACTACAGTGTCAGTAAAGTGGCCTTCATCTCGGATCCTATAGCTGTAGTTAGGGACTCCTGGATCCTCACATTTTACTAGGTCAAAACCTAAGAGAAAGGAGGGAAGAGTGAGCACGAGGAGCAGCAGGTGTGTGCGCATTATCGTGAAGCTGAGACAGATGCGACGGCCAACTGTCCCCTGAAATGCAGAGAGAAGAAGGAGGCCGAATTTAAAAGGGAGAAAATAAACGTGGGTCTGGGTTGGGTCTATGTGTTAACTTTTTGCTGTCTGTGGAGGTTGAATCACTTTATTTGCTCCAATCTGTTCATGTAATTATATGGAGAGTGTTTTCCAGAGTTCCACACGGTCATCTGCTGGTCCGCGTCTCCATGGATTCCCCAGGAAGCCTCCAGCCTTCTCCAGTGGAGAGCCCATGCCCCCTGTATGTCCCAACCAGGGATGTTCCAGTGGGAGACGATGTAACTCTATGCATGTACTTTCAATAAAACAAGGCTTTTGGGAGTCTTTCCAGCCAGTATTAACTCTAGTGCACCATCAAGAGCCTCCACCTTCATGCCAACTTCCTCTAAAGATCCTGGCTCTTAGCTGCATGGAAAATAAGGCTGGTCCTGCTCAGGGGGGCCAGGGGGTTGAGAATTACCACCTGCTGCATGCCCATGGTGGTTAGGAGGCTACCAGGCAACTCCACGCACAACAGGAAGGCCAGAAATGAGTCATTACAAAGACTTTGTCAAACTAAACTCAAATAAATAGATGACAGAAGTGAAGATTTAGCTTCTGCAGTACTGAGAGTTGTACATTGCTTTTATATGGGGCAATATTTTAAGGCCATCTGTGGAGACAGCCTTATGCTAACATATTTCTCTCATTTCCTGATGCAAATTTGACCATTTAAAATGTAGAGTTAGAAACTTGAGAGGCCACATGGTCTGCTCAGATTTACTTCCACCTGACTTACACTTGGCCATTTCTCAAGACTGAATGAATGAATGAATGAATGAATATTATGAACATGCAATTTTTTTTCTAAGTCTGCCTGTCAAACTTCTTTTTGAGATGGCTTCCATTAAGAAAAATACATCCTTAAATTCACAATACAGTTTTACCCTTACGATCTCTACATAATCAAGATTGAGTTCTGCAACTTTGTACAGCGGAAAGAGTTCACATTTGGTAATTTATACCCAGCTGCTAAGAGAAGTTTCTTTTTGAAAAGTGTCCATCTTTACCAACTGTGCCTTGACAATAACTCTGATCTAGTTAAGAAATTCAAATAACTTTAATTCAGGATGCCCAGAAAGAGAGACCAAAAGATTTTATCAATTTCAGTGCAAAACAAAGGGACCTTTAAACTGCCGCAGAGGGGAAGCAGGAATTAAAAGAAATGGCTTCAGGGCTCGTGCAAGTATTTGAGTACCCTAGTCTGACCACACAGTGCCAGGACAGTCGGGAGAACGGGACATGAAGCTGCTGAATTCATGGATGACCAACAGCATGGGACTTCAGCGTCACAAAAGGCCTCACTGATGGTGCAGCCTGAGGGTCTCTCTGACGGAAGGAAAAAAGGAACTGAAGCCGTGCAGCTCTTGTCCTACCTGGCGCTGGGTCAGAGGTGACCAGCTCTGCAATGGCTTTCAGGCAACGCTGCCAGGGCAGGAGGCTGGGGAACATCTCCCCTGAACAAACCTGCCAGGGGGCTGTGGTTTCACTGGCCACATCTGGAGCGGGGCTATTTGGATGATCATAAACAATGTTTCAAAATATTTCATTATGCTGAAGTCAAGTTAGGTATCTGAATATCAAATGCCCATGGAGCATCAAGTTGGAAATAGGCAGTGGTCAAAATCCAGGTATAAAAAGTATCAACAGAGGGTCAGCACCTCTCCCTGTGTACATGCCTGCAGCAGGACCCCACAGCACACGAACCACCTGCATGGGGGCTCGCACTGCAAAGGACCAGCACGCGCAGGGCGCCTTGGTGAGGGGAGGCTGGGCATGAAGGCGGCCCACAGGGATAGCCACCACCTGCTGTCCCCAAGGTTCGTGCCCTGTGCGACACGAGCTCAGGTTTTTTGAGGGGCACTATGTATCTGGGTTTTTTAAGTTTATAAAAATGCTTGTTGAACGAGTATATATTCTGAAAATAGAGCTGTCTAAAGTCCTTGATTAGATTGTTGAAGCTAAATGTAAGTAACATTAAAGAACTAGATGATTTATCTGCCTTTGGGGAAGGCTTTAATGAGACTTAGGATGGGGAAAAGTTGGTACAGTCCATCTAATGCTATGAAACTAAGCTATAAAACTCGCCCATCTTCTGAGCTTGATTGGGGCCTGGACAAAAATGGTCACACTAGCTTGTACAAGATTTTTCATTCAGACGATAAATTATTTCCTGGTTACCCAGAAGAGTTTTGTTAGAAAAGATTTTCCTCAATGGAGATTTATACCTGTGTTGGTAATGACATTGATTTTCCTGTGTGACTTATGGACCGTCTCATTAGCTTAGTCTTAAGTGTTACGGATAGCATAAAGATGTCAATGCTTAAATGTTACTCAGAACATTCTATGTTCAGGGAGCATGAATTTTAAAGGCTTCAGTTAAATGTTAACAAAGTTCTAAAATCCAAAAGTATACTTACATTAAAACTAGCTTGAAGAAACATTTTCCTCTGCCCCAAAACTTGCCTAAAACATTTTTGGAGGGAAGTAAAAGAGTTCTGCTTAGTTTTCTGAAATCACATTTTGCCATGTAGACAAGTCAGGCCACATTATTTATGACAGGGTAGTCACTCCATTACCAGCCACCCTCTTCTCTTATGATGCCTTCTATTACTTTCTCAAAAGATCACTCAAGTCCTTGACAGCTTCATGAAATGTATTATTTTGGGAAAAGTCCTACACTGGGTTCCCAGGGGAGCCTGAAGCCTCTGGCTGCACCCAGTGTCACCTCCCCGTCAAGAAGTTGGAAGCATGTGGATGTTTCAGAGTTCAGCCCTGCAGTTCTCAGTCCTCTGATGAGAGCTTTGCTGGCTCAGAACTTGTCACACAGCTTAATAATTTAGTCACAGTTACAGGTGCAATCCATGACATTTATTCCTGGAGGAGGCATTAAAAGTAGCATTGATCTTGAAAGGACTAGCAAAAAATCTCCAGAAGTCCAAAATTTCTCTTCCAACTTGATTCTTGGGCTCTTGTACCACATGCACTAAAATGCAGCCCTACTTTTGCTGTTTCTCCACAAATGAGACATTCATGTTAACTGAGCTTAACTGGCTACATGGTTCAGGAGTGATAGTATCATTGTGTCCCAAACATTTCAACACTGTTTTTAAACATGGATGAAATCAGTTGAATTGATGTATATTATCAGAATTCTGAAACAGCAATATAGAATTCTGTGATGTTGATTCTCCATTTCAGGAAAGGATATTCCTGTGATTTATTTTAAAAAAAAGTCAAAATATTTTCTTAAGGTTTAGAGTTAGATCTACAAAGATATTCCTCTAAAGGAGACATTTTCCCATTTTAATCTGAACCTAAAGGACTTCAGAATGATCAGCCTTAAGACTAACAAGTAATGACCTTAAAAATATAGAGAAGATAATCCTTTTCTATCTCAAACCTGCTAGCCTGCAGGAAATTGGTACAAATGCTGATTCTGTATTTCTTTATGTCATAAGACATTTAAAAAAGATTAAAGAAAATTATTTGTTTCAACATTATGAAGAGTTGCACTTGTTTCCTGAATCTGCTCAGTAATTCTGTTCCTGTTTGCTTCCCGTTATTTCTCCTGAGTCACACAAGCAGCAAAGATACTCTAAACAAAATGTTCTCATCAAACAGGCTGCAAACACTGGGTTGATGAAAATCACTACTCTACATCTTTTGCAGTATTTACCTAGTCTTAATATTTTTAAGGATTAAATCCTTTATCTCTTCAAAGTCTAATAAACTATTAGTGTTATCAGAGACTTGCACTTAACTCCAGAGTATTTGGCCTAGTTCTTATCTTCCAAATAAAGCACTTGTGTGTGAAGAGAACCTGCTCTAGGTAGAGCCCATTCATGCAGCGGGCTGAACAATGACTGTGTTCACGTGCGTTTGCTCAGCCGCTACCCAAGCACCTATTGAGAAGGTACCGTATGCCCAGGTGAGCTCTGAAACTTAACTGAGCAAGAACACCTGTCTACAAATCCCTGATACCTTCTATGAACAACTGGACAAACTTACAACTTTCAAATGAACATACAGAAATTTATGATCACACAAGGGTGTAGAAACAGAGGACGGACGCGTTTTACCCTGGATCAGTTTTTGAACAGTCCAACTAGTAAGTACTGTCCTAACTCACACACTGTGGTAAGAAACTTCCATCAGTGCATTCTATAAATTTTCAAAATATATTCATCATCACTTCTGAGGCTGAGGCTTTGTTAGATACTGTGAGTAGAACGGAATGAACTGGCGCCCCTATCTTCTGAGTCTAGTTAACTACATAGATAGGAAGATAAATATTCTTAAAACAGCATGATAAATGCTGTAGCGGAGGTGGATGTGAAGACCAAGAGGCTCAGAAGGAACAGGGACGCTTTGTAGAGGAGATGAGATGTGAGCTGGTCGGGAAGTAGCGCAGGCACCGGAAGCTCCAGCACCAGAGGGAGGCCCAGCAGTCTCCCCAAGCCCGGGGGCGTCTGGAAGAATATGGTATGCCCTGGGGGGGCAGGACAATTCCCACTATCATCTGAAACTGGCTGAATCTTGGTTGTGAGCTCGGGGGCGAAGACTGGTGAGGGCTCACAGCCCTGGGGAGCTAGTCCAGCTCAGGGAGCTGTCGGTCCCGGGGAGGAACAAGGGTCTGCAGGAGGAAGTGGCATGAAGACTGCTGTATTTCAGACACAACCAGGAGCGATGCAGAATACGGACTGGAGTGACTTTAAAAAGCAGGAAAACTGTTAAGATATTAATTTCATGCTGAAAGGTAGTCTGTGGCAGTGGGATTCGGGCAGTGGATGAGGCGAGCGCACATGGGTATGAGGCAGGCAAATGTGTATCATGCACACAAGGGGGTTTGTGGGATGGGTGGGGC